GGCGTAGAAGAAAATGATCGAGAGACGATGCGAGGAAGGGCGTCCGAATATGGGTATTGATCCGAGCCATGGAAGATTGTGTAGACATGCGTCCAGTAATGACGAGACACAGGTTATGTGGTGCATAGTATTTGGAATGGTATGCTTGAATTTCTGCCAAGGAAAGTTTTCGAAGTGCTTCCATCATTCCACCAGTCTCGCTTCGATAGCCATTTCCTTCGGGGTAGAGCTTTCGTCGGTATCTAGAATAATATTTTAGTATGAGATAAATCTTCAGATGATTAGACGACATACGCTAGATCCATCAGATCTGGTGCAGTGTTCTGTCTGCCCTGCATCTCGCTATACACTACTCCAGCATCCTTACCCTCTTTATCAATATGATGCACCTCCGTGGTAAATGTACTCTCTGTCAATTGTGGATACAAGATGTGATCGACGAATACTGGCAGCAGTTGCAAGAAACTAGCTTCACCCGCCGTCGAGAGTGTGTAAACGGTATTATCAGTAGCGGTCCAAGCATTTGGCGTAGAAGAAAATGATCGAGAGACGATGCGAGGAAGGGCGTCCGAATATGGGTATTGATCCGAGCCATGGAAGATGAGATGTTCGAGTGTATGCGGGCAACCGCTGTCGTCAGTGACTATCATACATCAGTCTATAGTATCAGATCCGTTGAAGCATAGCTTACTTTCGGTTGCTACAGCAAAGTACCCGTTAATGATTGGGCCTGTGCAGAATTACAGCGTCAGTTCTCGGCGAACCCACTCTCCAAATTATGACCGCCGACCTTCATAGTCGACATGGACGACTCTTAATCCTGTTTGTTGACTTTGCCACTTGGTAATAGTGACATCGGTATAGTTGAGTTTGATTTTCTGGGTCAGTCGAAAGTTGCCAATGGTGTCCACATCTTCTCCAAGTTGCGTTACAATATCGTTCGATTCAGGGGTAGGAGGGGCTGATGGACCGGTCATTCTTGCAATATATAGTCCTACTAGGCAGACCAGGCTTGCTAGAGATACGAAAAATGGGATACGCAAAGACGTCGTTGTGGGTGTCGTAGTAGGCGTGTCGTCGTGCGAAGAGGCAGGAACTGGAACTGAATTTTTGTCTTTCTCCAATGGGCTGTCCATCTCCAAGAGCTTTGGTATTTATACGAGAACCAGTGTTGGGAACAGTCTTCAGAAACACATCGTCAGCGCATCCGGTTGGCGTCTAAGCTGGGACCCGAGTTGCATTGACTAAGGCCACAGTACACGCAAGATGAATGTCGAGGCGGCAGTCACAAGACTCAGATTAATCAACAAAGTTTGTAAGGCAAATTCAAGCCCTGAATTTGAGGAGTGTGGAGTTACAAATACAACATGTACATGGGAGTTCTACGTGTATCCCGGAGACGGCGAACGAGAATAAGAAGTCACGAATAGTATATGGAGCCTGCATGCTCCTGAGCCAATGAATATACGTGGAAGGACGTGTATGGGTGCGTGAGTGGGGGTTGGTGCTTTTAGTTTTTAGGTGGCCAAAGCCACCCAGCCCAGCTTCCCCTTGTGGGTGCACTTCCTTCAGAGCTAGATGATGAGGAGCGATGTACTTGAAGATATTCCTGATCTTCAGGGCCTTCACTCTCATGAGCGACTTGAGAGGTGGATGTACCAGGCGAGCGGGTGGAGGGGTGGGTGATGGAAAGTAATGATTGAGATGAAGTAGATGAAACAGCAGCGGCGTGTATATCGCTATAGCTCCATTGATTTCCATCTTGTGTCATACGGTTTCCAAATGGTGGTGGCAAAGACTGTAGCCTGGCCTCGCGTAGTAGTCGCACCACTAATGCAAGACCCATTCGAGACTATGATAAATTAAAGATGAATATTAGCAATCTGTGCTTGATATGGTGATTGGCGAATAACACGGTTGCCTACCTTTTCGATGTTTGCCTTAAACTTGCTGGCGCTATATTCTTCAATCCTTCTCTTCAAACCCCAGCCTAGACCAGACCTAAAACGTGCTTCCGTCTTATGTATTGTGGCTCTGTCAGGGAAAACTCGTCAGCTACATCGTTTTCCTGGACTGCGGTCTGGTCGAACGACCTAGAACAAGGCCTTGGATGCAACCTCCAAGGAAAAAAGAGCACAATAAAAAGAAATAAACATTCACCCATCTGTATCTTCTTTAAGAGTGGTCGTCTCAATCACCTCCATGACTTTTACATGGTCCAAATTCCTTGTTCGGCAAGTTAGGACCTTTCCCTCAACGTCGACCTCGCTCTCCTCCACAATCCAGCTTTCCGCACGTTGCATGAGTCCTCTTGGGAACCATGCGGGCAGCGCGCCTCTCTTGAGGATAAGCCGAGTCGTGCGTAATGTACCTTCCGGGGTGATCGTGCGAGAGAGTACATCTGCAGAGACGACATGCGACGCGTAGCGATTTGGATATCGAAGAAAGAAAGCTAAGGTTACTGTGCGCCAGGCATCCCTAGCAGAGTGCGTTCATGAATGACATTCACAATGCGAAATTTGGTAGAAAGTGGGTTTGTATAGTCAGCGACCATGTTCGGCATCCAAACGCGCTGGTTGAGGAGATAAACGTACTCGTAATGGTGAGTTTGAGAGAAAATTTTGACCATATACGCGAAATAATCTTTAGAGTGCGGGGTAGTATGGCGAGAACGCAGAACCCCACCTGACGCCCAGGCGTAAACCAAGTTTGCCTTCTCAGTGAGGGCAGCCGAAGGAATTCATAATTCATAAATGAACCATCCACAACAAACAATACGTGTGCAAGTAGTGAGCAAAGTGTATTATCCTGCTGAACGAATAGATTACGTTATCGTACAGACCTCTCCAAAGGCGTCTATTGTACATCATAGTAAAGTGTATAAATCACGACAAACATGTTGGCATTGCCAGAATGATCAGGTTACGCAAAGTCCCCTTGCGCGTATCTACGGCCAATTCCGACTCGATATCCTCTCGGCAAATCGTCCTTGGCCTCGGTTTCCTCCTTCCCCGGTACACTGTAAGATCGCGTCATGTCGAACTCCAAGAGTCTACTCTGATTTTTGGTGCCAGAACTTCGTAGGGGGTTGCCGATGCCAACAAACAACACACCCTCGCTCTCCGTCCCTGGTAGCCCAAAGTCAAACCCAGCAATCTCCAACCGCTCCTCGCCGTCTGTTTGCATCTCGTTCATATCGAGGTAATCATGGTCATCTTCATCCTCATCGAACAAGGGGCTCGAGAAAGACTGTCCCCCGAAAAAGGTGCCCCCAAAGATACGGTCAGCAAATGGTCGAGCCCGAACTGGCATATATGCCACACGACTCCATGACGGTGGCGGCGAGAAATCTTCTACGAATTATGCTTAGTACTTTTCATGGAATATTTAAAGATCCACTTACCCGAGTTTAGATGGGGGGCCGGGCTCGTAGCAGGAAACGGAGAAAATATCCTGGTACGACGTGTTCCTCGAAACTCGGAGAGACCTCTAGGAAGGAGAAGAGGGCTTCCAATAGTGGTTGTCATGGGCTCTGGGGAGGCAGTAAAGAGCGGTGGGTTCGTTTCTGGCACTGGCAGTGCAGAAGGAAGGACAGGAATGGCATTAGACGACGAAGCAAAGCCGTTGGTTGGTTCAGGTGGTGTATGATATGCGGATGGCAAATGAGTAGTTCGACGGTTTAGCTCCCTGAGAGAAGAGAGGCGACTCGCAAACCCAAATGTTCTCGGGATGGGAGGGTTGGTGCTTTGATCCACAATGCTTGAATCAAGGCCTCTTGTGCTACTTTGCCTAACTGGCGGGTTTGGCAGTGGGCTGGTGGGAGGGAGTCGAAGTGGCCAAGGTTCCCAGTCGCCAGCTCGTGATTGCGACGAGTGCCATAAATTCTCTGACTCTCCCCAGTTAGCACTTCCGCTGGTAGCTGGTTGATTGAACCCTAATGCCTCGCTCAATCTTCCAGCATTAGTTTCGGGAACATCCTCCGCGTCAATGGTCTCTTCACCACTGCCCGTTTCGACCTCCACGTTCATCTCGCTGTGATCGGAGATTGCAGTAAGGTCATGGATCCCCCCCGCCGGCAGCTCTTCCAGAATCTGGGTCCAATTATCAGATTCTTCATCCATATTCACTGCCATCGCTGCTAAGAGGAGTTGCTCTTCTACCTCTCTCGCCGCTCGATTCCGAGCAACTTGTCTCCACCTCGCGCGCCGCGCTGCATGCCCAGCCGAGATGACAGGGTCCAAACTGCTGTCTGCCGACCACTGGCTCATGACACCTCTTGTGAGATCCCTTGCAAAACTCGGTGTGTCTCTTCTACCAGATGATGGCCCGAAACTTGCTGGCGCTATATTCTTCAATCCTTCTCTTCAAACCCCAGCCTAGACCAGACCTAAAACGTGCTTCCGTCT